GTCTTTTAAAAAAAATGCTCTCAGTTATTTTAATTCTCTTGTAATATTGATTATATAGGAGACCATGTATGCACATGGAAAATTTCAAACTAATTATTTCACTGGTAAGTAACAGCTGCATTAATATTAGTTATCCATTATTTATACTATTTCTAAACTCTATAAAAAGTCTACAATGCTGAGTAATAACAGTAGAGTCTCGTGGTTTACTACCAGATTAAATATCTTTTGCAGATGGAACAAACTGCATTAAACAAGAAGGCAAATACCTTTATTTTGGCAAAGTTCAGAATCTTTTTCTTTCAACATTATCATCAAAGTAGACCATATATTTAGAGAATAATCTGTGTCCCTCATCCTCCCAGAGGAGACAACCAGAAGGAACAGCTTGCAGTGTAGGAGACAGCACAGGCACGAAGAGCTACTTCCTATCTGCAAGCTAATACTTGTGCTTTGTGGTTTGACAGGCCAATGATAGGTTTAGATAAGAAAACCATTTCCTGTCCTTAAAAATCAAAGTTTCTGTAGTAACATACTGCATATGGGTCCTATACAATCATTTTCTACACAAAGTCATCTAATTCAAGATCTGTCCTATTTTATTGAGATAAGAGATTATTAAAATGTGAAGCTCTAAAAATAGTGGCTTATAATTGAAAGGCTAATTCTCTCTTAATTATAGGTATGCTACAGTGGCACTATAATTAGGGATGATCAGTAACTCCAAAATGATTCAGACTTTATCATTCACTCTGTACAAGGATGTGCATGAGTTCCATAAACAGAAAACTGCAGAAAACGAAGACAGACTCATTTTCCTCACATCTCTTGGTAGTTACAAGATTGTTCTCCATTTACTCTCTCTTTCAAGCAAACAAAGTAAATATTTCATGAATGTTTCATTTAATGATCATCACTGAAGAAAAGTATAGATTTTAAATTAGAAAATCTGCAGCTTAAATGGAACTTCTATGACAATTACATACTCACTGACTTTACTAAAGTAATATTAATATAATGTGGTTTGTTGTGATTTACCTGAAATCTGAAAACATCTTAGACTTTAATGGAAGAACAAATATCATGTCAGTACAAAAGAGATCCCTAACTATTAAACAATATATTCATCTTATAAATTTATATAAAGTGCTTTTATTTCAACAAGAATATACTTTTATGAAACAATTAACATTGAGACAAAAGACTAGGAGTTCAAAATTCTGAATTCTATTTTAGAATTGGCCTTTAGTTTCTAAATGGCCTCAACTTACTTTTTATCTTTCAGTTAGTTATTATTTGAAATTTAGAAAATGACCTAACTTCTCAAATCCATGCCTGCAATGCTAAATCCAAATCTCTGGCTATGATGAAAACCAATTTATCAGTTGACTTGATAAACTCAGTGATAGCAGAAAATTTAGCAATAATATAACTAATAAAATTCCCAGTTGTAAAAGACCATAAAAAGGACAAAGCTATCACTAAAGCCAAATTAAGCCACATTACAAAACATGAAGATAAATGTTAGAACTTTAAAGATTAGCAAGTGATAAGAGTGCATTATTGCATGTGTAATCAGCTATTTTGCTGGGTCTTGGCTCCAAAAGTAAGCATAATGAATGAGCAGAGAACAAAGTAAGCAATACATGTTTTCAGTCTTGCTTCAGCCCCACTTCATCCATATCCCTTTCCTGATAGGCTGGGTACCATAATAATCAGTCTGCTAGCATTCACTCTGCTCTGTATCTACCTTACACAGAAGTCCCAAAATTCCTTAGAACCAAAGGAAAGTTGAGAGAGGATGAACCCAAGACCTGTGGTGAATGTTAATTTTAGGTATAGAAACAAGAATTCCCTTTGCCATATTTTTCCACAGAAACTCAGCAATTCAACCACACTACAGCCAATAGACATACTGCAGTTCACCCTATGATTTAAGGAAACAATATTAATGAAAATCAAATCTTTTTGTCTTTAAAATGTCTCTAAATTAGTTTCATTTTGTTCAATATTTTACATAACGTTCTACGAAAAAAGTTGTTGACTCAAAGGGAATCTGTTATGCAGTTTCCCTGTACTAATTCAGTCAACTCTATATGAAAAGTATGATACTTGATGGATACAGTTGGAAAGCCATAGTATCCTAGAAAATATTTTGAGAATCAGAAGCATAAATAAGATTTTCCTCACTATTGTCATCACGGCATCCAATTATCAAATATTATTGTAATACAGTTAGCAAAATTGCTCAAAATTACTCATTAACTAGCAACATTTTTATTTAATTCAACTTGAAGAAAAAAACTTTAATATACATAATTTCCAAAATTGCAACCATGTCATATACTTCAATGAAAGAATTAACATATGAAGTTCCTATTCTCTTTGGTGATGCCTGCTGTTTTGTTGGCTTCTGTTTTTTGGTACAAACAGAATAGTGTGATTTTAAACAAGTTTTAGCCCATATTCTTCTTTCTCTAGATAAGGAGAAGCTCACTACAACATTATATGCACTGAGACCTAGCCAATGTCATTTCATCAACAGTTCCTTTTGGAGATAGTTTGAGAGGAATGGTGAGGACTTGCTTGGGTTTCAACCGTGTCTGATTTTCTAGCATTACACAAGCAAGTGTGGATGTAACCAAGAACAGAGCACGAAGGCAGTGAAATAAATCCAGAGACTTTGCTGCACAAGGAAAAATAGTGTATAGAAAGAACCCTGGCTAGGAGGAAAAGACCTCAGCATATTTATTAGTTGCATGGATTTAATCAAATACCCAAAATTATCTGAGCTTCTGTTTAATAATGCACAGATATCAAACAAAAATCATTGCCCTCACTATCAGACAGAAATATTGTTAGGTTAAAACAGGTAATGGATAAGAGACTTCTTTGGGGAGCTATACTGATAGATAGAAGTCATCAGTTGGCTAACTATCCATCATCACTTCTCTATTACTCTAGGGAAGAAAAGCTCCACAACCTTATAAAACCTCCACAACTGCATATTGGAACAAATGGGCTCCATGAGGTTAGTGCACTGAAACAGAAAAGTAGCAACATTCTTTTCCCAGACTCAACTAGCTTTCTTATCTTGTCTACTAGGGAATGTGAATACACTGGACATACGATTCTACCACCTTAGTGGTTAAGACACGTCTTTCTATGATTGACTCAGTGAAGATATACTGAAAAACTTTGTGAATGTGAATGTGTAGTAGTGAAAAGTAACTAGTACTACTATTGTCCAAACAAGGTAATAACTGAGACTCTCCACAGATGCATGCTCAACTGGAAGAGAGTGTCTGAAAATAATTAAGATTATTTTAATCGACCAGGTGCAGTGGCTCACGCCTGTAATCCCAGCACTTTGGGAAGCCGAGGCGGGCGGATCACGAGGTCAGGAGATCGAGACCATCCTGGCTAACACGGTGAAACTCCGTCTCTACTAAAAAAAAAAAAAAAAAAAAAAAAAATTAGCTGGGTGTGGTTACAGGCGACTGTAGTCCCAGCTACTCAGGAGGCTGAGGCAGGAGAATGGCGTGAACCCAGGAGGCGGAACTTGCAGTGAGCCACGATCACACCGTGGCACTCCAGCCTGGGCCACAGAGTGAGACTCCGTCTCAAAAAATAAAAAAAAAATAAAAAAAATAATTTTAATCAACAAAAGTAGCACCAAGTAAATGATGTTATAACAGGCATCTGCATCATTCTCATAGATCTCATTTACTTCAAGAGGGAGCACGTAGTTTTTCCAAATAAGATAAAAGCAAGCCACACTGCATACAAATATTAAAAATGCTTTTAAATGCACTTCTAATTGAGGAACATACAATATTTTAAAACTGAGTATTCACACACATGTTGCCTATATGTTTAGAAATGATAATACATTGTCATTAGTGGCAAATCTATATTACAAGATTCATACTAAAATCTGCATTCAAGTAAAAAAAGCTGCTGATGGTCCACATCTTTGCACTTAAATTGAGGTACCTAATTAATTCATCAAGGTCCTGCACTCTTCACATACACCCAAGTTACTACCTGTTATTAGCTATGGTTCTACCACTCCCACTCCCAGAACCCTTTCTCCCATATTATCTTCAGCTGAACTGAAGTTATTCAGAAAAGAGACCAGAGGTAATGTAGCATGAGATAGTCTTCAAATTCTGATGGTAATTTGAAGGTCCTAATCCTAATTCATGAATAAGTTGGACTAGATCTCACTCAAACTCAGATATATTTGAAGATATTTATAGATTATCAGAGACCATTATATGTCACCAATATTGGCTTCAGACCTATGTTAATCAGCTGTATTTAAACATTTTCATAGAAAGAGTTGTTTTATACACAATAGTAGAAAGAAAGAAAATTATGCCAACATCAGGGCCTTGGGCTTATGCTATAAAAAGAGAGCATAAGAACAAAAGTTAAAAAAGTAACCTACATCTAATAGACACAGTATAAATATGCTACATATTTTAAAAGTTAGGAAGTGTAGGGCCTTTGTTGGCTTCTCCTTGGAAGCTTTGCACAGAAAATTCAGAATCAACACATATGAACATAATCTGTTTCCTCACACATAATTAACATAATTGATTTGAATGTGAGTTTTTCAATTATGAACTAGGTAAGATAAATGCAGTCATATTTATTTAAAATCAAACAAAAATAAGATGTTTTGTTGAAAACATAATAATCTAATCTTAACTATACTTTGCTTCAATGTTGTTCCAAAAGGACAATCAATTTTGGTAAAACAGATTTCATTGCAACATTGTGGTTTTTCTCTTGAGGAGTTAGGAGTCAGAAATTAGAGCTAGACCTAAGTATTGGGATAGGGAAGGGTCAGAAGCAGAGACAAGGTCAAGAACAGAAATAGAATTAGGGTTACTTTCACATAGTACCTTGGAATTGACTATGGGAGGGAAACAAAGTTTAAATAGGTTAAATTTCAGGAACAAAATCAGAAACTACAAAGCAGAATCTCTTACCCTGAAAAACTCTTTAGTGGAGCCAGAGTCTAATGTTCCATAAGCAATTTCTGTTTGCTTAGAAAGATCCTCAGCACTTTCGATGGGAGACACCATCCTCTCTACAGTCAGGAAGGCAGCTAAGTTAGCCGTGTAGGAGGAGATTATGATCAGGGTAAAGAACCACCACACACCTCCAACAATGCGCCCAGAGAGGGATCTAATAACAAGTATGAAATGGATTTGTAAAGTGAAATGAATGACCTAATAAAAAACAAGTTAACAGTATTATGCAAATATTGACTTATAGGGGAATATTTAATTTTATATTTTTCAATATAGTTAACGAAACTGGAAATCACTAAACATTTTGGGCAAGGAGTACAGAGTAGCTAAATTTAACAGCATACACACAGGTCAGAACTTCTGATTTCTGGAATACTTCCATAATTGTAATGCCCAAATAGTTTGATATGAATCCCATAAGAAAGCAATTTCAAGAAATTTACAAATACTCATAAAAATTTATCCACTCATTATGTAAGTAAACATAAACAAGAGAATGTAATATCACCAGCAAAGCTCATAACAATGTTTATGAACAAAATCAAAAATTAAATAAAAGCATACTCCACAGATATAACTTTAAAACCAAAGAAACTCTCCCTTTAATTCACTCAATTTCCAAAACAAAAAAGGCCCCAAATTTTGTTAATCTTGCGTATGTAAAACATTGGTATTAGATACAGTACAGGAGAGAAAAATGAGGAAAAATAACGCTACAAGCAAAGATATCGCACCAAATATAACTATTAATGAATAAAAATCAGATGGCTTCAGGGTATGGATGGCTATGACCCTGTTCCTTTATGTGTCCTGCTAAAAAAAAAAAAAAAAAAAAAAACTTAAAGAAAACAAATTATACATTTAAAAGTTTGTGAAGATATAAATTTCTAGTTTGAGGTATAATAAAATAACAATATTTTTCTGACTACAAATTCTTACATAGAATAGTTTTTAAAAGCTTAATAGATTCCCAATAATTTACTTTAAAACCTGAAGTAGGGGAATACAGGTATAGAGATACAGCAAAAGATATATACTGTATTATTTTGAAAGATTTGATGGGATTCTGCACATAACTAAGAATTTAAGTGATATTGATAAACCAATAAAAATAACCAATTCTCTGTTGTCAGTAACTCTGCTATGTCTAACAATTAGACTTGCTAGTGTGAATAAGTGATATTTCTAAAAATTTAAATCATGCTTGGCAATTTATGATCTAAAGTTTCTGACAATTAACATTAAGAAATAAATCTTTTGATGAAACACATACTAGATCAAACACTTGGGAAATATTTGTAGAATAAACCACTCAAGCAGTTAAGAAAGGAGAGAAGCTAATTTAAATGAAAAGGTTTTTTATATAAAAACATCAGTTGCTAAAATAAAGGAAATAGAGAAAAACAGCAAGGAAAAACAAAAAGAATATAATTAAAGGTCTTTATCACAAAGTCTGTATGAAATACAAAAAATTAAATAAATATGATAGGATGGAAAAAGTTAAACACTTCTCACATATATTTTGAAAAAGATATTAAATATATTTTACATTTGAAAAATGCCTTATGTAGACACAATCACTCTCAAAATGTTCACTATTCATCTAATATCAATGGGAAGTATAGTTATATGTATCATACATTTAAGAGCGCAGATTCAGTACCTGACTGCTCAAATCCCTTTAAACTCTACACATCGCATATTAATTTACGATATGTTTAAGAATCATTTTTATAAGTCATTCTATCCCAGTTGTAAAAATTAAGAGAAGTTAGATGTAAGTTGTCCTCTATTCCAGTCCTTATATCAGATTTAATACGTCAACTGATTTAAAATGTACATGATATCTAAAAACTTTTATTGGACTTATAAATAATTCAAAGGCGAAAAGTACTTCAGCTATTTATTATTTACTTTTAAGTATTTTTAAAGTGTCAATTCATGTTTGTCAAAGAGTTCCTGAGAAATTATGCAGAGAAGGAAATTCAATATTATTTTATGGTGACAGACAAAAATTACTTCTAAAATTAAAAGTAAAACTTTCACTCATCATCATCAGCACTAAAGGAGTAAAGAAATGTGCATATGCTCTTATTTCTTTTTAATCCCCACTAAATCATTTTTTAAATGATACATGTTTTTATATTCATTTGATTCCTTTAGGGTCACTGTGGACAATCCGGAAGCAAACAGGACAATAAAAATAACCTTTACAGCATATTGCTCTCATAATTTCTGTGATTCTATTCTCCATGAGACCATGTCTGATAGTTAGGATATTCTAAACTTAATTTCAGACAAATGAGAAGTCACTTAATTTAACAAATCACTCTAGATTACAACTTAAATGTGTTCTATTAACATTAATAATATAGTTTCATATCATATTTTACTTGGAAAAGAATTATAAATACTTTTTAATATTTAAAGACATTTCTAAAGTGATGTGTGGATGTCATGCTATTTAAAACTGATAATAAGCTACTGTAGTCTTCTTAACTGGGGTAACCATCATTGCATTCTTAAAAATGATAGTTTTGTTCATTAAAAATCATTAACTTTGCCAGTGTATTATGTTGAATTTTAAAATGCATATATAGCATAAATGAAAGACATGTATCTCAAATGTTTTAATAAAATAAATTTTTATCAAATACATTCTGAAGGAAAAAATATCAATCAATAACAAGGAAACATATGCTATCTAAAAATCTGTTTATCTTACCAGGAAATAAAAGTTACTACATGTAAAACTAGAATGTCATGACTCATGAATGAAATCAAAAGCACAGAAAACATATCTTAATTTAGATGCAGCCTTGATGAAAAGGAGAAGTCATCTATATGTCATGGTCGACTCTGGGATAATACAGATTGCTGATATGCCTTGTGCTCCAGTCCCTGTGTGCAATTAGGTTTCCCACTCCTTGACAAACACTGGATACCTAAACAACTACCTGCAGTGCCATCATGCCCAGGAGCAGGCATCGACGGGAACCCAGGCCAGACTGGGCTGACATGTCCTACTTCATAACGAACCCACATACACTTCTCCCTACTATCCAAAAGGCATAGCACAGGATATTATTGCCTTACATTTCAGAACTAGGGTAACATACTTCACTCTCCTTCTTACCAAAGAGTGAACTACTGCTTTATCATTTTACGGGCCAGAATGTTCTCTGAGACCCCAATTTGGTTAGTATTTTCCTCCAAATTATTAGAAACTTCTCTATATATCTTTAACTTATATTAAATAACTAAATACAGAGATGATAAAACTATGAATCTTATATATTTTGTCAGAGGTAAAAAATATATGTATGTATATATGTGTGCGTATATATATACACACACACACACTCTTATGTCATGCTGTGCAAATACCATTGGCATATTTCTAATTCACTGAAGTCCCACAGGGAAGTCACAGGGAATCTGGTGAAACTGAGATTTTAAAACTCTGTATAATTCATAAAAATGTAATGTTTTAAATCATTCCCGCTAGAATTACCTACTATCAGAGAAGTAAGCTACTGATAATTGCTGCCTACGTGATGTATTTCCTTTATCTCACTGGGTGAAATATACTAAAAAGATTGCAAAAGATGCCAATCTTTGAGCTTCTCATATAGTTTTCTTAAATTAATCACTTGTTATTCTCAAAAGTGATTTTAAAAACTCACAATATAACAAACTGTATCATGAAAGGCACCCGCTCCATTAGTTTTTAAGATATCCTGTAAAATCAAAGAAGAGTACTAGAGCCTAAATTAAAACGCGCCAGTAGACTGATAAACATTTTGACTTTAAATGTTAATCACACTAGAAAAACATGATTTATTCCTCTGAAGAGCCAAACATGGCTCTCATTCTTATTCTTATGTGCAACATGAATAAAATCAATAGGCACTTTGTGGTAGATTCATTATAATTAGGCATTCTAGTGCAGGGATTTAACATATCATAATGAGATTAAAGGTAGGTGAGTTTAAAATTCCATGATGTGTGTGTATTACCATTCGATATGGATAGGTTTTTTTAAGAATGATTAGTCCCTTCCAGGCATTTGTGGGTACTTGAAAATATGCTATTATATTAATCCAGTAACCTCACCTAGAAAAAAAAAAATTTATAGTATCTCTCCCATACCATTTCCATGAGTTAATGATGGGAAAATAAAAGAGATGAGATGTGTGCCAACGAAGTTTTATCTAACAAGGTGTTACTTTTGCAGTTAATAAATAACGTTGCCCATTTTCCCATATACAGGTCTGTGCATCAACACACAGATGACTGTAAAATGAGAATATGCAGCAAAAACACGGTACCCCTCCAAGAAGGCATGGAATGATAGGAACCTTATGCATTTTATAGCCTCTCCATGGTGTGTATAATTTCACCAGGGAAATAGATGAGCAACATTCGCAGAACATTGTTCATATATTTCACAGACTTATGCCGAAGCTAAGAGGATGTCCTTTAAGTGTCTTAAACCACTTGGACAGGAAGTCGGCAGCTGGTAACTTCTTTATAGTGAATTCATAAACACCATGAATGTCCACTTGAGACCTAAAATGCACAAAGTTGAAGCAGGTGAGTAACCAACCTTGGCGAAATATCGCATCCTTGCTGCATAAAGGCACCCAAGGAAAACCAGAGACTATTAAAAATCCCAAATTCATTAGTTGATTCACTACTTTGTGTTTCTCTTCCATCTTCAAACTCCTCAGTGTGCCACTCGTAGGGGCTAAATCTGCTGACCAGGAATAAAACTACACTGACCCCAATGTAGGCAAAAACAATGCACATCCAGATCTCATAGGCTAAAGGATCAAGAAAGGAAAACACTCCTGGTTTGGACTTCTGAGGCTTCTTGATCATGATAGATATCCCGAGGCTCATGAAGGGCTTTGAGAAGTCAATCACCTCTTCTCTCACAAGGGTAATAGTTAATGGAGCAATTGCAATATCAGCTTTCTGTAAGGGAAAAAAAGGAAAGTAATAGTACCTGGAGTCATGGAGAAAAGGGAATCGTGGTTATGTCACTGGATCAAAGAAAAAGGAGAGGAAATCAGAGAAATCGCAATAATTCTTTCCCTGGTATAGTCCCAGTAAAGAATGAACAAAAGGGAATTATTCCCCCAATGCCCCTCCTCTTTATGAATACACAGTATACCCATCTGGCTTGACTATGATCATTACACATCTGCACTGCATCTCTGCATTTGCAGCCTTTTGACAATACATATGGCCCATATGCTTCAAGAGAGATGAAATGATTGTCTCAGTTAATCTACATGTCTACTTCTGGCTTCAATCTTAATCTTTCAGATGTTCACAAATCAACAAGATAATGTTTCTAGAGTAATGTGGGAAATCGACAACCTCAGACATAGATACTTCACAGGGAGAGGAAGCAGTCTGTCAACAACAATTCAAATTGAATGACTTTATCTATGAGAAGAGCTATACTTACCCCATATACAAGTTCTCCAACCATCCCATTCCAAATTTTCGTGTCTGCATCCCTGGCCCCATACTTGCCATCACCAACAATCGTCAACTTGTACTTGAACCCACAATGTTTGGCAATTTCTGCAGCCAGGTCAACACAGTAGCCCTCATAGCGCTCATTGCCTTCAAGCATTTCATGATTTTTCTTCATCATAACATATGGAGATTCCTATATGAAAAGACTTTGCTTTAGCTGATTAAAATATCTGTGTTAATTATGTACTCTCATTGAATCAAATCTTCTGGTTTAATTATTACCTGTTAGCCAGAGTGAATGAAGAATATAGATGGTGAACACACAACAGTAGAAGAATAATTTAAGTATAATGCTTCCCCCAAAAAATCTCTGTATGTTTATCATTATATTTCATTAAGATGGCTTGTACGTAACCATACCGAGTGAACACGATACTCAAAATCACAAACTCTTTGTATGTTCTCTAGCCATATTTGTAATTATTAGGACTTAGAGCAAAATATTACTGCTCGACACCTATTTTATTCCAGTTTGGATTCACCAAACCCTTATCCTTGATTAAGGTTATGCCAATCCCCAAACCAGCATTCACCCAAAACCCTGTGTCACTGCTGTCCCAAAGATAAGGTTCATGTGGAAATCAGGTTCATGGCCAGTGATACACAGACTGAAACGATCATTGTCATGATGATGTACTGATTCTACCCCCGCAGGCTTCAGGTCTCACTTCATCTGTGAGATACAAAATCCTAGAATGATGCTACAAGGATAGCTAGAGAGTAGCTTCCCCCTGTAAACATAAGAAAAAGGAAGCAAGAAAAAAATGAATCAACACAGTCCAATATTCTCCATTGGAAAGTGGCACCGAGGATATTTGGAGTCTCAGTGAGATAGTTCCTCTCAATGGCATGATAAAGGCAAAAATCCTCAAATGTCTAATTTGTACTTATCAGGAGATTTTCAATTGCTTACCAATGTTTTAATTCAAATCCCTTATCAATCTATCTATATCTGCTCTCAGTATTGTTAGGAGAATAAATCACACAAATTTACAACTTCACTGTTAAGGCCATTTTTTTTTTTTTGTAAAAGAAAATAAAATGAAACAGTTTTGTCACAAAATCCTGTCCTATAACAAACAACATTTTCTCCATTTCATTTCACCAACAGCTTGCCATGGTGATCCACATCTCTCTTCCATCTATCCAAAGCCTGGGTGTTGAAGATCCAGTTCAGTTTTTCCTTATTCATTCAATATGCATTGATTGTGTACTAGCTATGTGCCAACCAGTGCTGAAACTTGGAGTGAAAAGAAGGGAAATAATCCTTGTCTTTAAGGAGATCATCTTTCCTTAGATAGAATAAAGACAACTCAACATCATCATGAAATCACGTACCAAATGGAAAGAAAGAATTTACACAGTATTGAGTGGGAATGGAAAGGTGAAGAACTCGCAGAAATATGAGGAACACTCTTCAAGACATTCCCCAATTGTTCACCGATGTAAGCACCAGGGAAGGAATTATCTGTGTAGTTAAACTGTAGCCTTCCTTAAAGAAAATCAGGAACATTTTGAATGCTTTAGCTAGATCTTGTGTATTCCTTTTAACAGAGTAAATATGCAGTAAATGATTAAAACATTGCAAAAGAAGCAAAACAGGTATTATTTTCCTAAAATATAAATAGCTACTCCTGCAGACATTATCCATAAGAAAATACAAAGTAAAACATAGGCATATGTAGCAAATTACCAAAATTGTGGTGACAACAACAGTCTTATTCTCAAGCCCAGAGGTGTCATTTCCAGAAGGGAGCTCAGTAAGAGTAACAACCATTTTGTCCACTTCACTCCAGTAGCCAATCTGGAAAAGGTTACAGCAGACAGACGTATGGATAAATGACTTATCTATTAGCAAAGCATTTAATTATTTTCAAAGCCATGTCTCAATCTGAAATTAGACCCACATTTACTGGGCTTGTTCTAAACAGAAATGTCTTTTATATATGTGAATCTAACAGGAATAAAAGGAAGTATAAAAAAATTGTTAAAAATGACTTGTCTTTTCATATTCACTTTTCATATTCTCTAAGAGTAATTGTTTGGGAGTGGTCATATAGAAATGTAATTAAAATCCAAATAATGGCATTTTAGCCTAAACAGCTAAAAGGGTGATGTTGAATTGAACAGTTACATGCGTCTTTGCACCAGCTACTTTTTTTTCTTCTGAACCGTAAACCTTCAATAGTTCTTTCTCTTTTCATTAAAGACTTCCACGTCAGTCCAAAAAATTAAAGTTCAACAGCTCTACCTACGAATTATTTTTAAAATTATAGTTCAATGTTACTTACCAGAAATAAACAGACTTTAGGAAAAAAAAAAACTTCAAAATACATCTGTTTCTGGAAGTCATTAAACTCTATGTGAATACACATCTCCAGAACTCTCTGGAAGCATGAACTCATAGGCTAGCTAACTCACCTCCTCACTTAGAACTGCCTTTAAATCACTAAGGATTTACCTTCCGGGGCCCATTAGTTTTGAGCTCCATGATGTTAATTGTATAGTTTATTCTTTTTCCATTCTGGTCAAACTTTATATTTCCTGAGAGACCTTCAACCTGAACCTAATGAAGAAATGGGAAAGGAGCAGAGTTATCTATTTACTTCATCTAAACATATACACTGTACAGATTACTTTCACCAGCTGAAGTCAAGAAAACTACATCAATAAGGTTTGTTTCTCTCTTCAACCTACCTTTGCGTTGTTAGGAAAGAACATTGCCTGTATGTTAGACATAAGGAATAAGACAAAGATGACTAATTCAGCAGGAATAAAACATTAATGGCCATATTAAGTCACGTTAATGATTATTTTGAGTAACTGACCTGTTTGAGGGCCCTTTCTATTTCTACACCTTGTCCCCAGGGCACCGCTGGGTTTGCCAGACAGTCTCCCGCATTCCCCCTTCGGGAGATTTCAATTCTCTGCTTCCTCAGGTTGCGGAAGGCTTCAGTCATCACTTGAACGGCATCATAGGTCAGAGCAGAAGTATACTGCAAAGGATCACACACATTTCATAAGAACGGGAGAAAATTCAGAAACTCACTGTACACCAGCAACCAAGACTGCCGTTGCTCAGCACACAATACCATCTAAAACTCCAAGAATTTAAACACAATTTCTGCATCTAGAAACCTAAGAATCGAACAGAAGCATTACAAAACATGGGGACTTTGAAATGTGCTTTTGACTCTAAACATGTTCTATTATGTTAATATCTCAGCTGTTTCAGGTGAGACCTTTTCATAATAATTGTGTCAATGTTTATTTTTCTTTTATTTTTCTAACCTGCTTCTTGTTACAGCCTCACTTTATAGCCTGCTATGGTGATATACAAAACTATAAGATTAACAATTAATATTTCTTTACAGTCTAATGAGAAATACATTTGTCAATGCAGAAGGAATATGAATTAGTTTCAGGATTCTTAGTCTCTAATTCAACCCTGGTCATGCTCACACTGATCTGCAGTGGTTTTAGGGGTGTCTACTTAAGATCCCCTAGGTGATTCTGGTAATCAAGTAGAAGAACCACAAAACTTCATAATTTCTATGCCCCCATGCCTCCATGCTTCAACAGTCTATGATAACATTGGTTCAAAGCTTATGGTGTTCAGATTCCAATGGGACAGCAGAATTATTACATTTTCTAGGACCAAGCAGATTAACACTACATGTGTTCCAGGCATTGTCAGTGTCTGGATAAGTAGTAGCATGTGCATGTATACATATTACCATTTGCCAAATGGATGATGCTGTCAGTTAATGATTAATTACATTTCGACATTAAAGTTTTACTGAATGCTGATAAAATTTCTGTCATTATTTTTTAATCTGTAGGTACTAAAAGTACGGTGAAGCTTGGGAGAAAGAAATACAATACTCTACCATACTGACTTTGTGACATGCTAAATTCTTGATCACCAATCCAAAACAGGCACTCAGCATTCCCCACGAATTCTACTCAGTTCCTTAGTATTTCAGGTCTTCCACTCTCAAAAATGATAATTTCATCTTTGTCTTCTCCAAATACCCTGACCTCCACACACTTCTCTTTCTCTAAATTCCTGCTGAAAACCTTGCCTTCCTTGTCATGGGAAAAAGACAAGCCATCTAACAGTAAAACCACTAAGCTCCCCATACTCTGTTGTTCACCTGAGATGACAATACAGGACATCTACTTAAGAAACGACTTCTTGAAGCAAATAAGAAATATCACATCAAGATATATCTGCTTCTCTTGTATGTTTGTTTCTATTCTAAAGGAAAAAAACATTAATTTGTTTTTTATACAGAGATAAGTTTATTGCCAAAATAATTCTTACAATAATGTCTAGGTCTCTGAAAAAGAAATTTAACCTAAATTGAAATATTGCGGTTTGTATGGAAATAGTGATAATAGCTAAAAGCCAACATTTTTTACTTAGCTTGCTCACATTACTAGGGGAAAGCTATAAAGCCGTCTACTAAATGTGTTTGAGGTCTACAGATGTTGGTTAACTACATTTAAAAAATATGATTAGCTTGAATGAATTGAAAGCATTTAGATCCATGTAGCATATTATGAATATGATTCAGAGTAAGCACACATTAAGAGTAAAAATCCTTTCAACCTTTTACAAATGCTCAAAACTAATCAAGTCTTGAGCCTATTACCATTTTAAATTAAAAGTCACAATCATGGAAACACAATATTGGGCTGAGAGAAAATCAACAGCTTCTGTATCCAGAGTTCCTTTCTGCTTATGTTCTGCACGTATGGCTCATTTATTTTTCTAAACAAATATGTTCACATTTTTGATTGGATAGTTAAATATTTCAGTTTTATTCTACCATTCATTAAACTAGATGTAAATTAATTTGAAAGGATCATGATGACAATGTAACTATCTCCTTCTTTGAAAGAAAATGCTTCATTTCTGCGCCTATGTTTATGTTCTGTGAAATCCCTCAGCTGAGTTGGAAATTTATATTTCAGTGGGGGACCATTTTGCTTTGCAGTGCTATATCACAATCACATCATAGCCACACATTAAGAATAAATCTGGGAAATCGTTTTTTATGGTCCATTTTCCAAATGTACTTTTTACTTTGCTTTAAATGTGTATTTATTGAGACTTAGTTTACAAAAATAAAATAAAATATGCATTTTAGACATGTTTGTTATGTCCAAGAGTCATCAGCCAAACCAATCAATAATACATTACTGTAATCTCTGATATGAGAAAACAGTGTTCTAACACCAAAAAAGGGGGGAATGAAAAGAAGTTCTGTGTATATCTCAAATTTAATGAACACAAAAGAGGATAAGTAGTCTACAGCACATATTTTCATGGGTTATTGCAATGACGGCACCTTTTTCTAAACATAGTATCCATACCATAATAAAATTTAAAAATATATACTTAAAGAAAAATACTAAAATTTAAGTACTATTAAAATGTTATGACATTTCCCATGAATGACCACTGTCAGAAATTTTCTTTAACACTTGAATTAGTTGACTATAGTTTAGAAAGCAGTGCATTTAGCATCAGAAGGCAGGGCTCAAGCCCAGATTTTACTATTTCCTCTTCTGTTGCCTTGGGCAAGTGAACTAAAGAATTATTGTCCGGGTTGTTTAGTACAATAAGGAGAGCAATGCTTCTTCTGTCTATGTTATAAGAGTGTTGAAAAGGAAAGTAGGGAAAAATATTCATGTTTACCTAGTTCTCTTCGTGACAAGCCGGAGATAGGTCTAAAAAACCCTATGCCACAACTGTTTTTATTCCAATCCTATAGGTGAAGATTCCAAGTTATAAACTTTCATTTTACCCAGCTTCACAAAAAATGTGTGGCAAAAATGGATTTGAATCCAGATCTCTGTGATTCTGAGGTAATTATGATGACCGGTTGCCTTGGTTTTCCTCGACTGTCACAATATTGCAAGGAAAAGTCTTCAGTCCCAGGAACCTTTTCAATCCCGGGTACACTGGGATGGTTAGTTACTTTATTTGGCAAATACTGTATCAAATAAGTAGATGTATAGTAAATGAGAAGCTTGATGAGTTGTAAAATATGTTACATATGTAAGTTATTGACCAGTAGGTTTGCATTCTTTTCTTCTTTTATTACTATCTTGATGCAAAACTGTTTGTTTTTACAATGTTTTGAAAACCCTGTCTCACTCCACACAAAAGGGTTCTGTGATCTAATAAGTACAGAAAATGATTTTCACATTGACATATTATAGACCCTCAGAAATCCTGCAATAACAGTTTAACTGTTTAATCAGTATTTCCCAAATTGATTACCAATTTTGAAATTTCTTTAACATCAATTATTTTACATAAGAATAGTGTTTTATGTAACATATTTTTGGATGTTAAAAGTTTTATGGCCTGGTACATTTTATATACTCATTTCTAAAATAGCCTCAATTACTTAGTTAAAAAATTATTATACATTGAATGATATTCCTCTGGAGAATTGTATGCAATATTAATTCTCAGTTTCATCCTTTTATAAAATAATTTAAAACAGGGTCAAAAATTACGATTTCTAGGAAAAATAAGTAAACCTATAAGAAAAATTTTAAGCAAGTTTTTTTTTAAGATAACCAACAGTGACCAAATCAATTAGGGCCATAAGACAAATGAACAGTATGAGGAAATACATCATAAACTTAAAATGATTCACTTAACTTCAAATTCAACTACAGTCTACCCTATGGAAAAGAGCTGCCTGTGATAAGGTCATCTTTAATTTACTGTAAAGCATATTGAATATGTGCCCTTTGAAACTTCACTGCATAAAGGCATAAAAATCTTCATAAAAACCTTAGTAAGCATACAAGCTCTATCACATTTTCCAAGGGTGAAAAGAGAGCTGCATTGGCAAGAAACCTAAATTAACATATTTTATTATTCTTCATGAATAATAAAATAATTTTAATCTACTGTGAAGAAAGAGTCTTCATGTAAAAGGAAGAAATTAAAAACACATATTTTTGCCTAAATTACCCAAATTGGCTGTTAATCTTTACTGAAAATCTCACTTACAGATTAAGGTTTTTATATTCAGAAACTTTAGATTACTTAAGAATTCAAATTTTCAGATAAAGCTAATCAGATTCACCAAGACAGAAAAAAGATGCTGAAATCAAGGCATTGTCTGGTTTTGATTCAGTCATAGGTAAAGACTTTCTTAGGAGCAGATCTTTTATTTTGTTGGTTGAATAAATCCCTCTCCCTGACTCTCTGCTTCCTAGAAATCTTATAAAAAGGTGAAAGTTCTTCATTTTTTATGATCTATGAAAAACAAAAGATATACTGTCCAGAGTAATTTAGGATTCACTTTTGGCACCTGGAGATCAAAGACGTCTGCCTACCTGCAAGTCACTACAATCTCTGAGAGATAGAGGCACCACTGGAGATGTCAGAGATTCAGCAAACATTTCAAATGTTAACATACGTTTCACGGAGGGCTTAAGTTAGCACTTCACATAATCATGGTATGAGAGAGTTGCAGGAAACCTAAAAGTTTACCTACACTTGTTCCCTTTACAGATAAAGAAATACGAAAATGGGATGTGAGCCCAGGTGCCCTGAATTATAATCACAGATATTAATAATACATTTTTTAAAGTTGTGATATACATATTTTTAAAATTCATGTTTGCAAAATAAACAATCTTATCAATATCAAATTTATACATTTATTTCAGTCATTTACATACTTTTTAAACTATAAAACACAAGGAATTAATATGTCAAATTTCAAACTTCCAGGTTGTGTTGGCAAAATGCTGTAATATTAGGAAGAGTGAATGCCGGTCTGCCAGCTGTGGTTTGGACAGTTAAAACACTCAAGAAGCAGAATTAATTCTATTAGGCCACTAGGGTACTATTTAATGCACAACAGTAATTACTGAACCGAAAAAGATTATACTATTTTCAGGCAGACCTAATAACTCTCTTAGGAAAGCAATTAAGAAAGTTTGAGTCTGCGTGTGA